ATTTGCGGCGATTTATAGCAGGGGCGCCCATCGGGGCAGGTGATGAGGTGGATTTTTGAGCCATATCCGAAGCAGAGGAATAGGCGCCTCAGGTGCAAGGCGGAGGAGAGGAGAAGGCGACCTGTTGCGAGTAACTACGAGGGGGAGGGCATGTTCTTGGATGGTTTTTTGGGATAGCAAACCTTTAATTAAACTTATATATCTTCAAAAGCGCCCTTTGGCGCCCATAGTTAGCTTACATTTGAGTTTATGTCTTCAAAAGCGCCCTTATGCGCCCTTGGTTTTGTAAAGCGCCCATGTTTGCACCCATGGCATGTAAAGCGCCCTTACTTGCGCCTATTATTGTCACAATTGGATTAATTACTTATTAGACTTGGTGTTTTGAGAGCCTCAAGGGAAACAACGCGCCCTCTATTTCGCGCCCAACATAGCGCCTACCATCTTGCGCCCACTATAGTGCCCAGTATAGCGCCCGCCATAGCCCCTATCATCTTGCGCCAACATAGCGCCCGAGTTTCACGAATGAATAAAAATCAAGTATAAAATCGAAGCGATGATCGGAAGCAGAAGAGGATAGTCATAACATAAAAAGAGAAAGCAAAGGCATTGCACAAATTTATCAGGCGCCTAAGATTACATAGTGTCCTTAGCAAAAGGTTATTAGGCGCCTAAAGGTTACATGAGTGCCCTAAAAATAGTTAAGGTTACATGCCTCGTGCGCTACTCGTCGGCGCCAGAGTCCGAGGAAGAGCCGGAGTTATAACCTTCGCCCTCTTCATCAGGCGCCTCATCCACAATAGGGCGCCCACTCTCCATGTAGGAAATCACGAATTCCACCATGGAGGTGACATCCCATTCGACATTGGGATGTTCAACTTCTAGATTCCTCTTCAAGATCAGTATGCTGTTAAGAGAAGCCTCAGCCTTAAGCGGCTGGCCAGCTGCAGACTTGACGAAGTATGCTTCGAGCGCCTCCTTCTCGGCCTTAAGCGCTTGTTTCTCCCCCTCGAGCGTCTGGATCTCCGATAGGGCCTTCTTGTTATCCTTGTCCAGGGTCTTGTTTTCCTTCTTCAGAGCGTTCTTCTCTTGGCGCAAGATGTCCATTTCGCTCCTGCAGGCGCCCGCTTCATTCTCCAAGTCTAACTTCTCTTTCTCCAGCTTGGCCACCGATTCGTGATGCGCCCTCCTCTCGGCTTCAATTCGTCCCTCATATTCGTCCAATAACTTCTTTTTTTCATCATCAATCTTCTGTTGGACGAGTGAGGCGCTTTTTGCCGCCTCAAATTGTGCATCTTAGCACATCTTTATTAGCTCCTCTTGGCGCTTATGCGCCGTCTCGAGGTTATCTTGCGCGACGCCGAGGGAGGTGGACGCCTCGTTGGTCTATGCGTGCAAGGCTTCTCGCTCCATGATGCCCTTCTTAGCCACAACCATCATCTTCAAAAGCAATAAAGCAAGTAAAATAAGCATAAACTTTGAGTCATGACACAAGAGGCGTATTGATGTTACCAAAAGCGCATACCTACATGGGCGCTTATTCGACACATCTCGCCCCACGGATCGGCGCCATCTAGGTCCAGGGGCGCCCGGAGCACGTTGCCAGCCGCCAAGGCCATGTGGATAGCGGTGCTTCGCTCTAGAGCGGACCGGTCGGAGCATTCATCGGTCCCCTTATGCTTCGGAGGTTGAAGCCACTTCTCGATGGACTCGGGGAGTTCCACATCGTCGTCAAGGCGCGGCTTCTTCCCTGTCTCAACCGGGGCGCCCTCTGACTTCCTCTTTAACCTCTTGATCGATGGCTCATTTTACTCGGGAAAGTCTGAGTCTTGTAAGAGGTTGATGGGCGTCGTGCTCTCTTAGTTCGCTGCGGCGGTAGGCGCCGGGTCCGCCAATACTTCAACCGAGTCATTCCCCGCATCTTCCAAGGGACGCTAGGAATTTGTAGGGGTTTGATCCTGTTAGGGGATTTGCCCTTCCTGCTTGGGCGCCTCTTCTCTTTCCCGGCTTCAGGGATAGGCGCCTGAGTCTCACCAGAAGCAGACTTAGCCTCGTTTGAAGCTGCTTTCTTCGAGGCTTTGGCGCCCTGGCTACGGCCTTTCTTTGAGCTAGGCGCCACCTTGGCCGCCAACCGCAGCTTTGCGAACTGGGACTTCATCAAGGAGGTCACTGATGTGAAATCCACTCATGCGCAGCAACATACAAATAAAAGGGAGTTAGTTATATGCCAAGATACAATTCAGGTGCAGTAAATAGATAAATAGGCGCACACCATCACGATAATAGGCGTGTAGAATTGGCGTCCTAGCAGCCGTTGAGCGCAAGTCCACGAGGTACAAAGAGAGTACCCGGGCGCTCTCAATTTCGTCGGCCGTAGTCAATGTCACGTCAACGTTAAAGGCATCCGCATCGCCAACCGCCCAACCCCTCATAAACGGGGCGCCACTCTCGTAAAAAGAATCCCTGCGCGGCTTAAAGAAGAAAAATGCCTTGAACCATTCTCTTCCTAGTTTTGGACACTCCGCTAGAAAGTGACCAGGGATATCTATGCGCCTTTGCAAGGATAGGTAATTGTCACTATGCACCATGGTGAAGAAATAGTGAAAGAGTTTGAATGTGGGCTCGACGTTGTGTTGCCGACACTTCAATAAAAACGCTATATGAATCATAAAAACATAATATGTCCTCGAGAATGGAGTCTAAGGGAAATCGTAGTCCAAAGCGGAAGTATTCCCGGTAGATTCCAAGCCAACGGGGCTCGACCACTCCAATTCTGGCAATCCGCGGGGCAGGCGCAAAGGAACAAGTCCGAGGCCATTGGCACGAAACGGCCAAATTTTCTAACTCAAGCGGCTTCACCGTCGAAACATGCAATGGCCCCGCTTCCTCAATGGTCATGTGGCAGGTCTCAAGGGGCGCTTCCCCTGATGGCCACGTGTCCTCCCATCTCCTCATCTTGATGGTTCCATCGTCTGTGGCTCCTGATTCAGGAGACGTGGGTGACACCTCCAACTCAGTTGAGTGCGGGGACCTAGGGGCATGGCCTATAATGGTTGCGCAAATGGGCAGATCAATGCTAACGTCCCAGGGGAGCCTAAAAAGGGGGGGGGAGGGCTTTAGGACGTTTTACTTACTGGATCCAGGGTTGGCAGGCGCCGCCGCTGCCGGGTCCACCGGCTCAGTTCGAGGCGCCTGAGAGCTACTAGGCGCCGCCTCTGAGGATGTGCCATCGCCTTTCCCAGCCACCTCTTTGCTTCCACGAGGCGTCCAACCGCCCACTTCTCGGTTGGGATCAGGTGAGAAATGCTTCTCCAACTCTTTGATAACGTCAGGCGTCGGGGCGTTATCAGAGGAGGCGCCCGAAGAAGATTTGGGAGGCAACGTTTGTATTTTGCTCGACGAGAGACAGGCGCACAGCGAGGCATGGCTAGAGAGAGAAAGATAGAGAGAGAAAATATTCGGTGAATGAGAGGGGAAGGAGTGGCGGATGGAATTTATAGGGTGGAGGAGCCCAACGGTCAAGTGTGGGGATACACGTCGATCAGGAGCGGCAATCCTCGCCGTCCGTTCGAAATTTGAATTCAAATTTTGAATTTCTAAATTTTGGAAACTACAAAATTTGAAATTCAAATTTCCAGCGCACGGCGAGGGGGGCAGAGATGGGCGCCCGGTTTTGGGCAAGATGGGAAAGTTGGTAAGGCCATAGGGCCTCGGTTGGCGCCTATGGATGAAGAAGGTAATGGGCTGAAATGTCGAGCCCGAAACGGAGATGGGCGCCTGGTTTTGGCGAGATTGGAAAAGTGGAACCTTGGTGGGATAGGTGCATGGGTATAAACCTACAGAGAAGCAGGAACCTTCGTTGTACATAGTTAAGCGCTCACTAATAGCTGTGAACGCCTAACTGGGGGACAATTGTTGGGTAAAGTAGAGGGGCCATTGGGGGGCATGGGCCTAGTGGGGCCCAAGCCCGTAAGAAGGTGTTGGGTAAACTTAGATGGCCACTGGGGTACAGGAGTCTGTGTGGGCCCAAGCCCATTAGTGGACTTGAAGGTTTAAGCCCAAGCAAAGAGATAGGTCGGCATAAGGAAGGGCGCATGACGAAAAAATTGAGTAGGGGACCGATAGGTACGGATCCAGGAGGTTGAGAGGCTTCCACCAGGGAGCGTGGTCCCTGCCAGGCGCCCAGGTCGAGCAATCCAGGAGCTGCTACGTGTGGGCGCCTGGCAAGTGGGTCACACCAAGCATTTAATGACCCGCTGAAGTGGAGCGGAATTCCAGGAGTTTGGTCGGGACCTCGACGAGTATAAATAGTACTCGGTAGGTGGCATTTACGTAGGTTGGCTTCTCTCACTAAAACTTGGGTAACACTTATCTCTCTAGATTTGGCACTGACTTGAGCGTTTGAGTGCTAACGGGCATCCCGGAGCCCATTAGGCGCTTGCCTTTGCAGGATCTTGGCGCCTTTGTTACGTGTCGGACCAACCCCACCTCAATCGGTGGGACCAGGACATCTCGGCTCAAATATTATCTAATATGTCTCTACCGAAATAAAATAGCACTAAAAAGATGCTTAACAAGTCAATTGAGTGTAGGATTAGCTTCTTTATTCACTAATGTATTGTATTAATATCAAAGTAGTGACCTAACCGTCATCTCCTTAACCATACTTCTAAGCAAAGCTAATCCCGGACCGTTATTCATCGTTGACGCGTACATGGTCATCTCTAAGCCCAGTTCATCCGAGCTAGGCCCATGGATTTCGTTTCCCTTAAATGCAAATTCCTGGGCCGTCACTGCGCCCACCGAGTTTAAACCAAAGAGTGATAGATTCCTCGTTTTTTAACGCAACCAGAAGAAAAGAAGAAGACGAAGCTATGCCTCTGGTGACCGTAATGTCGATTACACAAAACAGGATCAAAGCTTATTGAAGGGAAAAGAAGAACACGGGAGAGTCCTTGTCTAGTCTAGTCTAGTCAAGCAGCAGACCCTCAAATCAAAAAGAATTACAACTTCTTCCAGGTTTGTGTACTTTCCGGCACACAGTCGGCGGCGATTCCAAGCCCACTCCGCCGCTTCTTCCGCCGCAGCTTGTCGCAGATGAAGGCCCTCTCCAGCTGTTCCACCCTCTGAGACAAGGCGTTCAGTAGCCGAGTCTGCATTTGATTCCTCTCGTACAACGCCGCCATCATCCCCATCATCCTCTCGTTCTCCCCCGCCATCTTCTCCAGCAGATCCCTGTTCTTCCTCTTCTCTTCTTCTTCACCATTCTTCTCCGGATAATCTCCCTCCTGCTTCTCACCGGCGTTACTACTGTCGCTATCATCTGCTGCTGCTTCTTCTTCTTCTTCTTCCACCAGCGTCCAATTTTGCAGATCCTCCGTCGAGTCCGATTGGCTTTCGGTCTGCCTGTCGTTATGCTCCCCGGGAACTTTTGGTTGATCGGGAGAGTCGGGCTCCAAATCGCCGTGGGCGTTGTCTTCAGCTTCAATTGCTGCTGCTGATTCTAGGGTTTCGTGATTTTCCAATCCAGAAACGGCGATTGAATCGACGAACTCTTGCAACGCGATCGCCTTCTTGATGACTCGCTTCCTGAGATCCCTAACGCCGGGGTCCAAGCCTGGGACGGAATCGAGCCTGAAGAGCAAACTCATGAGAGTCTCGTTAACATTGAGCCGCTCCTTGGCATCTCTGCAAATCAGATCCGTCGTATCTGAGATCCTGATTTCCACCGCGTTAACCTCGTTTCGTATCCCTGCAATCTTTTTCAAGCTCTTTCTCACCGTGAATCCCCTGAACACCTTCTGGATCTTCTTTGCGGCCGAGTCGGATCTGCGGAGCGGCAGATCCGAAGGACTCGGTGGAGCCGGAGAAGAGGAGTCGACGAAGTGGACTGGGACCGACACCACCTTTCGCGCCGGCGGTGCGGTAGAAGGAGAATGCACGGCGGGGTAGTAGTATTGACGCGGGTAATTCCATCGGTTGCTGTAGAATGGACTGGCCATGGTTGGATTTGGTACAAGTTTGGTGGAGTTCTTTTTTCGCTTTGCTTTTCAAGCTGGTTGAACAATTGAGTGGAGGAATCAGGGAGAGGAATGCATGTTATTTATAAGAGGGAATAGGGGACCGACTTCCCGACGGAGGTTCCAGAAGTTTCAGGGAGGTAGAGGGATATTTCCTTTCCTTCTACAGAGTTGTGGAGTCTTCGCGCGCGGTTTTCCTTTTCCGCTTTTGAAGCGGAATGCGTGACGTGGCGGAAGCTGCCCTCTCCGCAAGCGAATACGTCGGCAGCGTTAAAAGACGCAAGCTATGTTGTAATATTACATCAGTTACCGTTGTTATTAGCTTATTTATACTCACGTTATCACATCAGGGCATTTGGTCTAGTGGTATGATTCTCGCTTCGGGTGCGAGAGGTCCCGAGTTCGATTCTCGGAATGCCCCAATTTAGTCTAGCGTTTTAAATTTTCAACTTAATAGGCAGTTTCCTTTTTGCATGAATACCAAATTGGATAATCAGTCTGTTTATACAGTGGGGAAAACATTGAATAATCAATCTACATGAAGTCGAAAACTAATACATTTAGCTAATTTTAAATCAAAGTTGCAGATTTGTTGCAGGAAGATATAAGTGAAGTCGACACGTAATACATTTAACTTACACATCAACAAGTTTTCCCAGACGTTTCAGCACAACTGAAGGAAAATGAGGATCGCCCAAAACCAACGATCAGATGAAATTCATTCTGTTTGGTATGCTGATACGCGCCCTGATTAGGAGTTCCGCCGAGGCATCCTTTGCCAATGCAATTACTTCCCCCTGCCAACGTCTTAAGCAATTCAACATGTTTGTTTTGGTAACATGAAATCTAAAACTAAAATGGAATCGTACCTCATCTACATTCACAATCTTCTTGTCCTTCATAATCCACTCGCCATTACACATCACGGAAACGATATTCTCAGTTCTCATGCTGTAGACAAGGCTGGAAATGCTGTGGCGAAAGGGTAAAAATAAAAAAAAGCAAAAATCAAGTCAGCAGTAGCAGGCAGAGAACTGGGACAGCGAAGCAGCTCAGGGTCCATTGACTTCTCAGACTAGCTAATTATGTTGTTGTTTCTTACCTGTCATGTGTTGGAACCATAGACCAAGAGTTGGGATCGATCACGACCAAATCAGCCTATTGATACCACAAGAGCCACACAGATGATAATACGAATCAGTTGCTGGCAAAGTCTGTGAAGATAAGTAAGATCATATGCTTCCTTCAAGCAGAATGCTCTAACCTTTTTGCCAACCTCCAATGAACCTATTTCGTCGTCCCAAAGGACCGTCTTTGCGCCATTTATGGTTGCCATGGTTAGAACTGTTTCTGCTGGGAGGGCTGTTGGATCAGTTGTCCCATTTGCATGCACTTCACGTCCTTTGTTGATCAAAGAAGCTAAATACATTTCATCAACTGCAGAAGATTTTCATCACCAAGCAACTATATTTATCAGCTATATCAGTAATGCAAACCATAAAGTCGTACTCCAAACAGTAAATTTTCATTTTGATTAATGAAAGTACTCTTTCATGCGTCCTAATTTGGAAGCTTACTCTAGATGCAGCACTGGATCAGGTCATGGTGGGATCGATTTCGATTTTAGTTAACTGACACCAAAATTCAAGAATTGGTGGGCTACTTCTACCAGTAAAAAGTTAAAATGACTCGGATCATACATAAAATAATCTAAACATGGCAAAAGGCTATGCATAACGCATCCTAAAGTACGAACACATTTCGATAATAAAACAACTCAACTCCAGTAAATTACAACCAATTTGTGGTAACTTCCACTAAGATTCAACAATAGGTGAAGGGTCATAGGCTTCAATAAATTTTGGTTAATTTGGAATACCTTTTAGTTAACAGAAACTGTAACGGAATTTCTTATAAAATCAACAACAAAACTAACAAAAAAACAATTAATTTGGTCTTGGTCTCGATTTAACCAATAACCCATTTTCCCACCCAACAAAAAACAGAACGGCCATTTATATAAGAAATGAACCATAAAATTGTGCAAAGTACCCTGTACCCATGCTCATTCTGTTATTAGATGGAGCACCATCCGTTCCCAAGGAGACAGTAATGCCTGACTGAAGCATCTCTCTAACGGGGGCAAATCCAAGCATTCGCATTGCAGCAGCAGGGCAGTGAGACACCTTGACTCCAGCTCTTGCTAGGAAACCGATCTGAACATAAACCAGTGCTAACAAACATAAGAATATAAACCACTAGAAGCTACTAGGTTTGCCTAAAGAAGCAGCTATTAGTTGTTACCTCTGTGTCATCAACCCACACAGTATGAGCAGCCAGCAAATTACTCCGGAGGAACTCAATCCTATCCAAGAATGTTACAGTTCCACGTTCAACGCTCCGAGTACCCTTCACGACTTCATTCTCATAAGGTATTTCTGCAACATGCTACATATCTGGTATTCAGCATTATTCTTGAAGGGATTGACAGTGTATCAGAATAAGAAGGAAGATAAGAATAGTATACCATGTGGATACCAGTTTCCAAATCCTTAGCTGCATCTCTGGTTTCAATTAGTAGACGATCCGTTGAATTCATGATTTGCCTGATTCCAAACCAAACCCTGATCCTACCATCTGCAGTGTTATTGTGCATCTTGTAGAGCTGCTTCTGAGACTGGAAATAGAATGCCGGTCACTTAGAAATACAAAAACTACAATGAAATAATCCATCTAATAAATGGAATCAATACTCCATGCTCAACACTTGAATAAGCATTAGCTACTGGCTTCTTTGATTTCTGACCTGAATGCAAACATCCGCAGTTTGATCCGCCCAAGAAGGCGGTAAACCATCGCCACAGTCCATAATCGACTTAGTTAAGCAAGCTCGTAACCCTAGCTTCTCAACAGCTCGAGCCATCCCCGAAACGTGCTGCCCTCCTGCTTCAGCAAAGCAAGTCACCTAATCCAACGAAAACAACCAAACAGAGCAGCCGTCTGCTTCAGTCGATCCCATGAAAGAAAAAAGAAACCAAACAACAACAAGAAGAAGGCCTACGCCGGAATGGATGAGTTCGATTCCGCAGAGCAGAGTAGAAATATAGGAGTCTTCCTCGGTCATATTCGATTCATAGGGCCAAATGCGATCATGTAGCCAGGTCACCAAGTCGACGTCGTCGGCTATCCCTCTGCCGAGCTGTTGCGAGGTGTGGACATGAGTGTTGACAAACCCTACTCGGAGACATTGTTTTCCAAATTTAGTAACTCTAATCGAATTCAACTTCGAAGGGGGAAGGAGAGGAGCGGAGGATCCAGGCGAATTACCTGGAAGTAAGATTTGGCTGTGGAGGTCAACGATTTCGTCGGCGACGGAGGAGAACTGAGAGAGGATTTGCGGGGACTGGCCGATGCATTTGATGCGGTCTCGCTCGATGACGATCCCGCCGTTTCTGAACACTCGTCGGTCGGAGTCCATGGTGACGATCGTAGCGTTGTGGAAGACGGTCAACGAGTTTCTACTGCCGTTGGTCTCCATCTTTCTGGTCTTCGAGCTTTCGCCGCCGCCGTCGTGCTTGGGATTGGAAGGGTCAGTGAGACGTGAGTGAGGTGGAGCTGCGAGACTGGGGGAGTAAAAAGCGCTTCCAATTCGAGGCGCGAAATCATTTTCTTCGTGGTTGGGCTCGCGGAATGGAGATGGCGGGGTTTTCCCCCTTGGTTTGGTTGGCCAATTGAGGGCCCATTGGGCCTAGACTAATGCAAAGAGATTAGGCTAAGTTCAATGTTAGTACTTAGGGATAGTAGGGGTGGGGCCCTTCTTGAGGCGGTTCTGCAGTGCTTGTTAGGCTCTTCTGGGTCCAGTGTGCGGTTTGTAGGTCGACGTAGTAATAGGGTACTCATTTTGTAGCTAGAAAGACCCTTCTTTTGTACCCGATTGCCTGTCACTTTTTTTTTTATTTTTGGTCTGGCTAAATTCCAGGATGTAACTATCTCTTTGATCAATATATGATTATCTTTTGCCAAAAAAAAAAATTCAATGTTAGTACCCAAATTTGGGGATCATCCCCATTTTTTTCTTTTTTTGTCTAACTAGCAAAGGCCCCGGCCTGTTAGCTGGAAATTTTTTGTCAAGAAATATGATATATAATAATGGATATATAATAGATTATTTGAAATGCATAAAATGATTGTTTTCTACATTAGTTATGCACATAACATATTTGAAAGTGATCCAACTATTCATAATGTGTTTATACCTCCATGAAAAGAGACAAAAAAAAATATAATATAAGTATTACTTAAAATTATTGAATGAACATGAAATGAATATAACTATTTTTCATTCATTATTTAATTAAACCATATAGTTGAATATTATAGATGTTTCTCATAATACATACATAATCACCTTTAAGATGAAAGAAAATGTCTCTCATAGAGTTTAGTAAGTCCTTTAAGTTTATTTTTTCAATAGAGAGCATTCTTTTTTACCACACCGTTGGTAATGAATCTGAAGTTGCTTGATTTGAAATATATAGTACATAATGCTAAATTGTTGCTAATAGTTAGTTGGACAATGTGTTGTGTATGGACTTCCCAAATTATTCTCAGATCGCAGACAAGTCTAGCAACAATTTAGTAATTTTCACGCAACAATTTTTTTTTCATGAAATAATTCAATAAATAAAAATCTATGAAAATCATATTACATGAAATGAGATCGCATATTCTCATTATCGCTAACTGACTTGTGTTTTTTTGCAATAGATAGTTCATAATGTGCCTTAAAACTCTTGTTACCACGTAAAAGAATTGTTTGAACCAAATGATTGTAATAGTGTAAAATTTTTTGGTAGTAGAGTATTTTATACTGAAATTATAAGTTAGCTGTGGTTCAACCGTTTCATATTGCTAAATATCACGTATCGATTTAGCATATAGTGCAAGTTTTATGGTCGAACCGCCAGTACGTACGATCTTTCAATTCAAACTTTAAATAAAAAACCACTAAAATATTGACATCATCAAATACCCTTAAATCTCAGAAATTATCATAATCGTATTAAGAAAAAAAAATCATCCAAATGATAATATTGATTTAGAATTTTAAGGTCGTTTGAAAGTTGCGATTGTTAAATATATGTTTTGTTGTGAATGCATGTATAATATTATATATGTATTGTCGGATTAGATGCATTCTGTATGTAACATAAGCTAAAAGTTTAGACAAAACAATCTCAACTCAACTATCTCAACAATCACAACTTAAAGTTGAGACAAAACAATCTCAACTCAACTATCTCAAGAATCACAACTAAAATATGAGACAAACAATCTCAACTCAACTATCTCAACAATCACAACTAAAAGTTGAGATATAACAATCACTCATTTCTGTCACATCACAAATGTAATCCATATATTGTTTCTACTAAAAAATAAAATAAAAATGATGCATTCTAAACAATACATTATAGTAACAATATCAACAAAACAATCTCAACTTTCAAACGACCCCTGAATTGAAATGGAGAAAAATCTATCAAATATAATGTCATCTTCTAAAATAAATAAAAAATCAACAGGGCCAAGAATACACACTAAGCAAAGCAAAAGGACAATTATTTCACACTACCTCATTTTCCTCCCTCTTTTAAATGTGTCCTCTCACTCTCTCTTATATCTCGTTCACTTGCCATTTTGTTTTTTGTTTTTTCTGGTGTGACAACAAAAATAAAAAACAAATGCTAAGAAACGTGTTCACTTGAAATTTCATTATCGTTGGAAAAAACATGGGGAATAAAAGAGGCGGTTGTGCGGAAACAATAAAAGATCGTTTGCTGAAAAATAAGGGACGGATTTTCCTAGCTGCCCAACAGGTTAAGCCCCATTCCTTTTAATGAGCCCAACGTTCGAATCCCTCGGCCACTTTTTTCCCTTTTGTTTACTTAGACCAACGGTGTCGTTTTGCTAACCCCAACTCCCATCGTTCTTCTCCCAACCTCCCCCAAACTCGACCTCCCCATCGAACGAAGCTGCGACAATCCGCCTCTTCTTCCTCTAGCGGCAGGGGGGGGAGAGAAGATCGATCCGTTGAGCTCCTTCTCCAATCGACAAAGCTCAGCCGACGAGCTCCTTCTCTAGTTGGCGAATGATGGGTTTGCTTTGAGATGCTAGCATGTATTACCCTTCCACCGCTAAGTTAGGCATTCTCAAGGGTTTAGATCCTCGAGGTCATATCAACAGAGTTGTGGATTAGACTGGATGAGACGTTGATGGCTACACTTGCCCAGCAGGTTCTCGATAATCCTCATTCTTTTTCAGTTTGTTCTTCTATCTCTCTCTCTCTGAGCTTTGTATCTTACCACTCTCCCCCTTTCCCTTCCTCTTTTCTTCCCACTGCCTGGAATCGAGAGAAACCTAGAAACATCCCAATTATTTCTCCGATTTTGCGTTCGAAATGCTTCTTCTCCATTCATAGTCGATAGTGTGAATCAAAGGTCCTGAAACCTGGCGAACCGATGATCGTTTATTCCTCTCAAATGGCGCATTTCTCCATAAAACATGAGTTCATGCACAAATATAGACTGTGTGGTGTTTGAAATTTTGCGCGAGCTCTTGAAGTTTAAGTCTGGTACGACCCATGAAGCATTCAACTTGTATAGGGCCGATCCATATGCATTGTTTTCATGGTATGCTCTAATTGTGTCATGCTAGCTTGGCCATGTGCCTGGGTATAGTTACATGGATTATAATAATTAAGTTTTTACCTATTCGCAACACCAAGATAAAAAAAACAGTCATAAATGCAACCAGTATTTGATTTTAACTACCTGATAAAATACTACATTTGAACCAACTACCACTGATGCCACAAATAATAAGTATATCTCTAAATCATACATAAAATATTTCAAACATCACAAATATTAAGATTAAATTAATTATTATAAAGAGTAAAAATTGTATAATGAGGTTAATTATAACTCATTTATCTGTTAATGCCCTTAAATTGGTCAACACATCCAAAAATGGCTAAATGAACATCACATTAAACCCAATATCGCCTCATTATTGTTGAGTCCATTCATACCATATTAGCAAGAGGTTTAATGTTTAGCAATTAACAAAGCTAACATTTTAGAGAACCAGTCACCTATAGTTTGTATAAAATATTATTGTTTCGTAGTAGTTCTGAAAATTTATATTAATTTAAAGAATTCTACATCTCTTGCATATTCAATACTGCAATTCGATATGCAATATTTCAAGCATTGAAATTTGTGTTACAATTTTAAGATTACTAGTCATTTTATAGGTTATAAAAAAAATTATAAATCACGTATTAAAATTTTCTTTTTAGAAGACTTAATAGGCTAGATAACCGTGATGGAAAATTCCTATGCTTTTCAAATCTTCGCTAAGTGTATGCTTACAATTCAAGAAGATAAGCCAAATTATTAAATCTTATAGAAAGTAATGAATTCTGAAATCGGAACTCAAGTAACATTGATTCAAATATTAAATATTAAATTATATATGTGGTACAGTTTAGATATAATACATGTGTGTAGTCAAAATATGGGTCTTCGTGACATATATAGTAATTTTTTGTGACAAATCTACACATAATATAAAGATAAATTTGGCGTTATGACGAAAAATAGGTTTGTAGATTCACTCTCAGGCCACGAAATTTAAAAGTAGACTCTCATTTTTCAATTTTATCATTATATTATGTGTATATTTGGTAAAAAAATGACTATACTTGTTAAAAAGTTAACTTTTAATTAATTAATAACATTTTAATAGATTTGACTAATAAAAAAGAATAGAAAGCCTAATTTTTTTTAACCAAAGATGCTTGGCCGGTTTTAGTTTAAGTAATATATGGATCGACCATTTATTCTGAGCAAATTTGCGTAAGCTTGACAACGCATTTCTTCAATGTAACACACTATTAGGATAGATGGTTTGGTGGGTGATGATTGCCAATAATGGAAGAAAAGAAAAATGGAAATTGGAGACGTAAGTCAACTTGGAAGAGTTGCATGCGCAAGAAAGAACAGTGATAGATGGTAAAGTCAAATGAGGTGGTGCCATGCCATCCATCTCGTCCCATCTTAATCGGTTATTAAATCCCCAATAATTGTCGTTTATATATAATCTCAGCCAACGTGTCGTTTGTAGTAGTTGAAATAGTTGAAGGGTTAGTTAGTTCGCTATTGAAAAAGTTGCAACGAGTCAGATTGTTAGCCAACTGGGTTTTGCACAAACAATGACATATACAATAAGATGTTCGGTTAGGGTCCAGACTCTGTTTTAATTTCGATGGTGTGGCATGAATGATACATCGAATTATGTATCTTTTTTCGATGAAGGATGAAAATTAGGGGTTTAATAAGTATATGATGTTTAATGTCAAAGTTAGGGTACTAATATCCAATTTATTAGCATAGCGCTAATATTGACTCCAACCAATAGGAACATTTTGTTTTTATAACTTTATTTTTATTTTTGAGGGGTTGGCCGGAATTA